AAAAAAAAAAAAAAAAAAAAAAAAATCAGTGCACCCTTGAAATCCGTAATGAACTTATCTTAACAATATATCATCAGTACAGACTTTTATTTGTATAAAATATATACGATACGAACATTGTGAACGAAGCTTAAAGAGACGATAAATGTGCGTCGCGTTCTAGAACTCATGACGTCAGAACGACGATAGTCGCTCTTATTGAAAACGAACAATTGCCCTAATTCCGAATAACTCTGCGATACCAGGACGTATTTACATTTTATTAAGGCGTCGCGACGCCTCTCTTGAGAATAAATCAAAGACTTCCCGATATCGCGATATCATGCAGAGCCTTAATATCGTTCTTTCACATCCGGTTTCTCGCAATATGACTTTTTAGTCGTCTACGTGCGTCTCCTCTCTGTGCTATGCGTTTTTCATGAAAACTCCTAAAGCTCTTTTAAAAATTTTTTTTCTTTTCAAATCTTATTTCCCCTCCTTTACCAGGAGCTTTCTCGCAGTCCTCTGATATCATCCAAGAGAATTCACTTGTATACAATTGTCAAGTGCACCGAATCGCGCAAACGTAATTTATCGTCGCTGCTTGTAAATCGGATCGTAGAATAAAAAAAAAAATTTCACACATCCAGTCGCATTCACACGGTACAAATATCCGAGTGTCGCTCGGCTCATCACCAATGGAAATTTCCATTGAAAAAATTCTAACGCGTGACGTCACTTCGTTTGCCGGGTGAAATTGGCACGGAAGAAGCTCGTCCGGCTTTTTCCAACTTCACTTCCGGTTGTGGCCCAACGGAGAAGGGATATTAGAAACGCGAGATGGCTCGAACGTTCTTTAGAATCGTCGGCTCCTTTCTATCCGATTAGCTAAGGGATGGTGATAAGATCTGTGGTTGCTGAGGGTAGTAAAAGCAGAAGAATAAAGAAGTCCAAAAAAAATAAGTGTAAGAGGGTAAAAGCTGAGGATGAGCAGATAGAATCGAAGGGAAGATGCCGGTTCAGAGCATTAGACTTAAGCCCTTAACCGAACGCGCCATTAAGGTTCGTACATAACGGCGCGCCATATTTTGACCTCGCTTCAATTCTTCCCCTTATACTCTTCTATGTACGCGAGTCTCTCGTTCCTTGGGATTTCTAATGCAGCGACAATTCTTTTCTTACCGCCGGAAATGGCGGATATCGAATCGCCGGAAGTACGGCAGAGTACACCATCTGAATCTACGACTAGGGTGCTCAACCACCATCCTTAATATTCAATGACATTAATAATCCATTTCATTAGCCTTTATACCAAATGCCCAGAGCTACAGTATGCACTGTAATATTAATGCGATGTATTTATCACGGATCACTTGTCACTTTTCAATTAATCAAGTCAATTCAACATTTCGTGCATTGTTCCGATACGATTAATCAATCCTAGATACAGCGTGGGATTGATGGATTGCTCTTGGGAACTAATTTATAGAAATCAACCAGAGGTAGTAAATAGATAGGTGAAGTTTTTATGTACAATCCTTATTAAAATACGAAATACACATACATATATATATTTGTCCTCAAACAAGGGGCTTCGTAAATGAAATCGTCTCCAAGGTATCTATTCTACATATTTATAAAGTTTCATTGAAATAGCACTGGTATCGTTATCTATCCGCCTAACGGTTAAAGCTTATTTATATTTTAGTCAAGTAGAACAGAAGAACCTTCTGACCGATCTAATGGCCCCTTAAATCGTAAGAACGTTTGCTAGAAAAGAAAAGCAATTTCCCGATAGGCTCTCACGTAACGACACCTTCCGCCCGGCACATTCTCATGGCACTTTTACTACTGGCGGTATATCAGCCATTCGGCTCTTTCCCCGTCATGAAATCGTGATCTTTCAATAATGGATTATGGTGTCACCCTTAAAATTTCTCCATTGTGCTCTGACCCACTGTCTGCTACGTATCTTTCTCATTAAATAGCTCTTTCGGACTACTGACAAATTCCATTTTCTTCAAATTTTTCCAGGCGACCTACAACATTGCAGTATTTACAGGACAAAAATATATATATATATATATATATATATATATATATATATATATATCCTACTATCCGGAGTTCTCAACCATTTCGTACAGTAATTAATATATATATTTTTTTATATTAATACCCTATACCTATATATATGCTTTATACAACTACACTGTACAAGACTTCGAAGTTGTTTTCCTCGGAAATACCAAAAGGACGCATAAGCTTCGGTTGGTGTCTGCGAATTCATCCCACAGAGACAAATTACGTAATGGACAAATTTCAGAGAGAAGTTTGTATCTTGTCCAGATTCCGGAAGTCCAGATTAAATATTCAAGCAGACGAACAACAACAGCAGTAACAGAAACGACAGTGGAGAAGTAACAACAGGGCTGTTTCCACCAGGCGACTCGAGAATGCCAGCATTTAGGAACTTACGGACTCCACAACACGTCTCGCCCGAGACAAATAAATGCAAATCTCACGTGAGAAGTTACAATCTCCACATTGCCTCACGAAAATCATCTTTTCCTAGCTTTTGTAATACCATCGATTTTTATTCTCGTAAAATTAACATCGCTCTTTCTATTCTCCGGTCATTCGCTCCACTCGATCGTCACTGGAAAATCTCTACAAGGACATACAAGCCATCAAGATTGTCAGTGAAGAAAGAATGCAACGTGGCATGTATGGAACAACCCACTTGTCACTGTCGCTACGTAATTCGTCGTCGTCATAAGGGACGAAAGTGAGGAACGCGCAAGGTCGCAGCGTGCCGGAGCAAAGGTGAGGCAATTCTAGAGAACTTTCCATGACGACGCGATAAATTGCACGAAACCCGAGACAACTGTTTCGCTTGATATTAAATTTCATATTTCAGTCAGGGACCAACCACTTTCGGAAAGGATCACGAGAGAAACTTCCGGTCTCTCGTTAACTGCGAATCAGCCTGCGCGTATACGTATATGAGTCATAGCACGGGTACGCCTCTGTATACCAACTTGATTCAAGGAGATTCGAGTTACTTATGTTCCTTGGAAATACGCCAGAATTTACTGATTTGTGAATCTAACTTATAACATATATATATATATATATATATAGTGTGACGTGATTTTTCGAATCACGGTCCCAAGGCGGCTCCGGTTACCGATACAGATAACGTTCTCGATTTCTGGTCCCCTTCGGGTCGCCACCCTGCTCAGAAACTACGCTCTCGGGTTGATTCGTACAGTTATGTTAAGGCTCTCGTAAGATTTCGTTATTGTTTAGTTCGAGGTGCTCGAATCTGCCGTGGGGATATAGTCTCGACGTACCGAGTTGCCCGGCAGAGGAGAGTACCCGACGGAGACGTCTCCACGGACCGGCAGAAGCCCGGGTGAGATACCGGCGCCCCGCTGGAGATGGGCAAAGGGCTGTAGAGCGGGCGGAGGGAGTTTTGATACAGTTAAGGGCAGGAGAGGATCCTCCTGCCCGAGTTAAGGACGTGGTGCTCGGCTGTCGCCCGATGCCCTGGGGAAGCGGCCGTGGAGGATCTCCAAAAATCACGTACCGATTCGCTAAGGAACGCTCTCGATTTAGTTTAAAGGGACGACTCGAAGGAGATAGAAGAGTTATCGGTTATAAGGCTCTCGACCAATCAGAATGATTAGTTCTCGGATTTGGCTATTGTCAATCGACTGCTTAAAGCAGTCTGTCTCGGGGCACCGACCGAGGTGTCACGAAGGACATCGCGCTTCCGTGCTATCTGTTGATAGTTTTTCTTGCCGTGTTTCGCTACGGTATAGCAAGTTCTCGGTTCGTACAGTTCTCGCGTTGTTCTCGCGATATTCAGACAATTCTATGAATTACTGTGAGTGTTCCGGAGGTGTAGTGCTGTGCCTTAGTGCAGTGCTCCCCAGAGTGTCCTTTGGATGCAGTTCTCGACCTCCACGGATTAGCTGCCCCAGCTCCGGTGAGTCTCCCAATTTATTAATTGGTGAAGGGATCTCGATAGATAATTAAGATTCGTTCTGATACGTTCTCGGTTCGTCGCTCTCTGTCTCTCGCACTATTTGCCGGACTCTTACTCCGACCCTCTCTACCTTAAACCTAGTAGCCTGAGCGGCCGTGCATTTCCGTAACCGTCCGCTCCCGTTCGTGTATCCAGGTGCGTTTGCTGATTTTACGCGACCCCAAAGATCAGCACCTACGGTTGCGTTGGTGTAGTGCTGTGCCTTAGTGCAGTGCTCACCAGTGTCCTTTGGATACAGTTCTCGGCCTCCATGGATTAGCTGCACCAGCTCCGGTGAGGATTCCCAATTTATTAATTGGTGAAGGGATCTCGATAGATAGTTAAGATTCGTTCTGATACGTTCTCGGTTCGTCGCTCTCTGTCTCTCGCACTATATGCCGGACTCTTACTCCGACCCTCTCTAGCTCAAGCCTAGCAGCCTGAGCGGCCGTGCATTTCCGTAACCGTCCGCTCCCGTTCGCGTATCCAGTTGCGTTTGCTGATTTTACGCGACCCCAAAGATCAGCACCTACGGTTGCGTTTCTCGATTTTACGCGTCCCCAAAAATCGACAGGATCCGTTAAGCTATCGCCTCGTCCGATAGGTTCCGTCAGAGCTCTCGTTCTTGGTGGAGTTGGGCCTGTTCCACCCCAACTCCCAGTTTATACCGGCTCGTCAGTTCCCGGTGAAGAAAGAATTGACTGGCGCCCGCCTGGCTTGCGGATGCACGAACGACGGGTGGACGGCCGAAGGTAACGTAGGTTGCTTCTCGAAGATAGTCGTTCTCGTATGCTTTGCTATCGGTGTCGGGTCAAGGAAAAGAATTACGTTACAATAGATATAGTTATAGCTTGACACTCGGGCACAGAAATCGTGGCTTGTAAAACAAATGCTCATAGTATTTCGTAAATTCTTTTCTTTCCTCCATTCACAATGCTTCTTACTGGTTTGCTTCGTTAGCTAGAAAAATTCTTTACGTCTTTCTTAGTAATTATTGATCCAAGGGAAGTTCTGTTGTTTTAAATGAGCGAAGTGGCGAGGCAGGTACGAAGTCGATGGTATAGTAACGACGTTTTTTAACGACCTCGGAGCAATAAAATTCGAATTTCCAAGCCGACAACAGGATTTTAATTTATTTAACCGTCTCGCCACGTAGCCCGCAATTTTTCATTTCTTCTAATGACTCTGCACAATGACGATTAATCTTGCTCGCCGTTATCGAGCCATTCAAATCCATAGAAGTCGCGGAAGCATTGAGGTCGGTCAAACGGATATACAATTTACTTGAGGTACAATATGTTCGCGTGCAGTCGTTTGTAAAACTTTGCTAGTTTGCAAGCTCACAGAAAAAAGGATATCGATTTGTACATGATATATCGTTCAATCTACCGTTTTTATAAATAGAGCCACAGCCTTCGTTTCCATAATGATTGTCAGGTTGACCCGAGTGCCAATAATCGTATCCAGCTTTTTCAAGAGATTCGTCGTGTATGGTGACGTAGTCGCCGTTTCTGTACAAATCGTGAAAACCAATAAGGACAAAGTTATTGTTTTCAACGCCAGCCGTGATATTAAATATGTGTCTCAATTGCTCAGCCTCAGCCATAGAGTTGATAATTGCAAGATGAGCGCCTTCCTCGTGACATATTTTACGCGCTTCGTTTCAAGTTGCTTTTCTAGTATGTAGCTTATATACCTCCTATACCCTCTTCGTAATAATAATCATCCCGCTTTGTTTTCGTATATCCGGCATTGACTGTGCCATGAGGGCAGCACGTGTAGCATAATTGATTATCTGCACAATAAATATGATACATGTAATTTTATATAAAATTCACTTGTTATTCAAACGAATTGTCTTTATTAATATTTTGCAAATTTTATTGTTCCATAGTCCATACGTATATTGAATCAGTATTTTATTTACCTGCGATTTTATTCAGGGCTGGTATCGGCGTGTCAGTCAATTGATTGGATATCAGGACGATATTGGAACTTATTAATGATATGAATAAGAATATTTTTTTTTACATTTTTTTTTTTTTTGAATTATTTCTCCGTGTATGTTTTATTCACTTATTGCACGAACGCTGCTTCTGCATGCAGACTGATCTAGTTTATCGAATGCTACAGAATTTACACAGGCTGCTTAACATTGTCATTAATTGCAAGAGATAAGTGTGCGGCTGCGCATATGTTTTTCTATAGACACCTACCGGAAGACTGACAAAGAAGTGCCTTATCTCCTTTCACGTGCGCTGTGGATATGAGTAATATTTGATTAATGAAAGTCAAGGATACCACGTATAAAAGTCAGTCATCCGGCGTTGTCCGTCATGCAGATATTTCCGTGTCTTTTTTTTCTCCGACAATTGTCCAATCGATACCCAGGACAATGTCGTTGATTTTGATGTTAACGGTGAGCTTCGAAAATCCTATGAAAGCGGAACGATTTGTCAAGCCGTACCCGGTATGAACGTAGCTTAACGGTGTGAGAGTTTGAAAGGGGCCTAGTCCTGTCATTTGGTGGCAAAGAGCGAGAATGGATGCTGGGAGAAGAAAGAGGGAAGAAGTGAAAATGAGATGGAATGAAAAAAGACAGACTATTTTATTGTCCAATTTTTTTTTTCGAAATTTTCTCTATTCCCTCCACTTCCAATCACCCCCCCCCCCCCCTCCCTT